CTGTCTGCTCTGTGGTACAGAGTCCTGATCACTCCTAACTTGTGTTCCAGTGGGTGATGGGAGTCAAAACGCAAATATTGGTCTGTGTGGGTACGGTTTCAGTTGTCCCCCTCCTACAGCACGGCCATTGCCAGTATCACTCCACCCCCTGTTGACAATAAGTGTTAATTAGGTGTCAACGRTAGCCATGTGATGTATCTGTCACATGGAGGCAGTGCTTAAAAGCCTGAATTTTGCCTGAAACTCTCAGACTGAAGAAGTCTCTTGGAGGAGAGATGAAACGTTTCATTAGAGAAGRACCCGTCCAGAAGACCTATACAATATTTTTCTTTTTGATTTTTTACCTGGATTACTGAGATGCATCAGGACACTAAACACACCGCTACCAACAATCTATTTTAAAACAGTGAAAATGTTCATACCAATTTATCTGATGTGTTTTCTGGGTTGCAACTTTTTTTTATTCACAGAAACCATATGGACAAGAAGCTTTGTTCTATCATAAAAAATACACAGAACTCATTGCACATGGCTACCAGTAGGTGGAGCTCAAGTTCCGGTTTCAGCTCCACCCGCCTACAAGCCCAGACAGAGGGCACACATTACCCAACAGCCACTTTAACCGTGTTTTAAAGCAAGATGGCAGCTGTTGTTGAGAGTGTTGTCAAACTGTAAGTGCTGGACTTTTTCCCTATACGCTGCACACCTGCATAGGTGACACACACCGAGGACACAACACAGCCGGCTGGATAGTTACTCGGTCACTGACTCTTTAGCCTGCTAGACTTAGTTAAGTTAATCATCGGTGTCAGGACGTCCGTCGTGTCTCTGTGTGTGTTCACATCCTGGAATGGAAGTGTAAGTTAGCACAGACACGCAGCTAATATTTATTATTCATTTAAAGCTATTATTAAACACGTAACCGTAAGTGAAAAGATGGTGAAGAAGGCGGCATTTATTAAGTGTTATCATGAAGTATTATCGTGGTCACTTGTTATGTCCTTGTGGTAACATCAGCTCGGTGAGTCGCTAACAAGCTAAAGTGTCTTTATGGCGACTGAGCGACTAGTTTAGGATGAATGAGTGACTAATATTRAAGRTAGTTCTTCTGTTTTCTTTCCAGACTTCAGCTTTGGTAAAGAGAGCAGCTGTCACAGCCTAACTTCGCACATAGACACKGTTTTACTGTGTAAAGTTTGGTTCTTTGACGAGCCCAGGCGCCATTTACTTCCATTTCCGTAGTCTCACGTCGGGTTGCGGTGCCGTCTAAATCCTGGTTAATGTTACTTTAATTACAGGCTTTCAGCGGTAATTAGAGACTTTTACGCCAATTAAAAGAGCTGTGGTCACTCTCAGCTTAAAGTTACTCTTTATAACTATAAAACTCACTTGACAACTTTCAAACATTATGTTAATGTAAACACATCTGTCAAAAATGTACAACTTCAAACCAAATCCAAAGCAGTATATATATATAGTATATACAGCATTTTGTAGGATTATTTTCCACCTTATTGGACTAATCAAAACTCCAGTGTCTGGTCCTTGAAGATACAGCTTTACATCATTTATTTTTTTACTTAGACTGCTTTTAGACTCTGTTTCTTCTGATTTAGGTTCCTTCACGAGGTTAAGCCTTTTTAATTACTCACTAAAACTAATTGTTCTTTATTTTATCCAGGTGTGACTTACTGTAATAATCATTACAGCTTTGTCAGCTTCAACATGTGTGAAAATTCAGCTTTTTTGGTTTCCAGTTTGTCGTAGAACTGATTTTATGATTGAGTTGTTTACGTTTGAGTCAGTAAATGTCTTTCCCCCCTCTCATCTTATATACATATTAGCACACAGATCACTGTGGTTTGGTGGCATCTTTTCTGCTTTGAGAAGCAGATTAAAGCGATACACTTGTTTGAGTTGACTATAATCATTACAAACAATTGTTTATGATTAAAGTATGTCAGAGCACGCCACAAATTATAGTAGCCTGACGATAAGGCAATCATATTTTGTTTTACTTCCTTTTTTTTTCTTTCTAGAACTTGATCAAGCAGTAAAATGTCACAAGATGGGAGAATATATCCTCTGCTTTCTTTAAAAAAAAAACAAGTACCACATAAATGCAATGTGTTACTGCTAAAACAAACACAAGAAGGTGTTTAAACTGCTCTGGGATATGTTTTTTATAATTTAGAAATACATCACTTGTAACTTCTTTTCCYCTTTGGCCATTGTGGACTCAATCTACCTCCGGTCCTGTTGTCAGTTTGGGAGAGCAGTGCTACAGAGATGCCTTGGAGCAGTGTCACAACTACAACACTCGGCTCTGCGCTGAGAGGAGCGTCCGGATGCCKTTCCTCGACTCTCAGACCGGTGTGGCACAAAGCAACTGCTACATCTGGATGGAGAAGAGACACAGGGGGCCAGGTGAGACACAGAACAATGAAATGTTGTAAACCGTGAATAAATTGAAAGAAAAGTTTTGCAGCRTGGGGATTTTCTCCTCCGTCAGTCTGACAAGTGTTCGTTGATTGAAATGGTTTTTAAGTCGGTGTTATAAGGATGGATGTGCTGTGCTGTCCCCCTCAGGCATGGCTCCGGGGCAGCTCTACACTTATCCATCCAGGAGGTGGAGGAAGAAACGGAGATCTCATCCTCCAGAGGATCCTCGGCTCATCTTTCCTCCTGTCAAGTCAGGTAGCACGGCAACAACTCCGCTCAGTAACCAGGAGACAAAACCAGGCCGTGTTTTCTGCACTTTTAAAGAAAAGCTGCAGCTTTGACGTTTTTCTAAATAAGACAAGAAGTGGCTTTATTGTTGATTTGTTTGAGTGGTTTTGTGCTGCAGAGGGGAGTTTGTTTTGAACCTTTTTTTTAATTCCTAGAGCTGGATTTGGGTCTGAAGAAGGAGGGTCTGCTGTCATCAGATGGCAGCAGCTTAGAGGCCCTACTGAAGGGGGAGTCAGTGGACAAGCGGGCGGCCACAGACCTCCGGGGTTCTGAGGAAGATTTAAACCAGAGTGATTACACAGGAAGCCTGAACCCCGCCTCCCGGATCAGAAAGGTTTGTTGTTTTCACATCCTCACATTTTACTTTAAAGTGTAACCCCACCCCCAGGCAAATTTAGAAAAATTCCAACAAAGTGGGYGGTGCCAAGAGACACTGAGGGGCGCAGCAAAGTGTGGGGGTGAGCAGGGGTGTGGTCAGGACAAGGAGGAGGCAACGGTGGTTAAAGAAATTCTGCCTGTAGGATTAAACATCTAACAGATTTAGTACCGAGGGGCTATTGAAGCTGACGCGACCCAACAGCTTTGTAGTTGGATTAAAGGAGACCAATTATGGGTCCTAGAAATTTTTATGGTATGTCTGTGGGCTATCCAGACCATGTTMATTCAATTTAATGYACAAAATAATTCYCAGATAATAAAATTTCCCATTTTCTAGTTCTGCCTGCTCTGACTTCYGTTCAGAAGAGCTTTTTATGTTAATGAGCTCTGTTGGTAACGCCCTCCAAAAATCCGTTATTAACTCCGCCTTCCAAAGCCAGCGTTTACGTTAGCATGGCTAATAATAGCAGAAGCTCCGTTGTACAACCATATGAGACCCAGAGGCAGAGTCGTGGTCCCAGCCCCMTCTGAGTGGTAAAGTGATGCTAGAAGCATCATTGCTAACATGGGCTAATGTTCAAAACAATAAAGTTTCATCACAGTCTTTACAGGAGGGCAGCACTAAGGTGGATTTAGACCAAATATTGCAGAATTTAACAAATTTACATATAAATAATACCCTGAAGGCACAATTTAGACAGTTTATTTTCAAAAAAATKTATTTGAGTTTTAATTACACTTTAAAAGTTTGAGGTGTTTCAGATCTATAAAGTACATAAACATTTTGTTAAATAATAACTTCCTCTCTTCAACGCAGAGAATCCTGGAGCCAGATGACTTCCTGGATGACCTCGACGATGAAGACTATGAGGAAGACACGCCCAAAAGAAGAGGCAAAGGGAAGGGGAAGGTCCGTTCTCACAGTCTGGATGTGTTTTAGTTAGGTTCTGTCCCGGCCTGTCTGCTAACTGCAGTGGTGTCCACAGGGCCGAGGAGTGGGCAGCGGCAGGAAGAAGCTGGACACAGCAGCCCTGGAGGACAGAGACAAGCCCTACGCCTGTGACAGTGAGTCATTAAAGGGCCGGTGCAACATTTCTTCACTCACCTTTTTAACTTCACTTGTGTTAGTTTAAACTCTGCTGCTTTTCTTTTCATTCTGATGTCACACCTGTAGTTGTATCTGAAATATTTCCATGAGTATGGGTGAATCCCCCCACCCCCCCTCCACTTCTTTGGTGTTTTCCGACTTTGAGTCTGTGCTGCTTGTGTGAACGTTTCCTCTTTTGTGAAGCAGTTTCACTTTCAGCAGTGCGGCGTTGCTGACTGTTTCTCTCAGCTCCTGTCTGCTTTCTTCTCATTTTCTTCTCTCTTTCAGACACTATCAAACAAAAGCATATTTCAAAATCTTCTGAACGAGGTACATTTCTCTTCATTACCTTGCACTCCCTTCTTTTGTCTTCACTGTTTTTACATTGTGGTGCCAGTTAGATTAGCTTTCTGTCCCCACACTTTGAATGTAATTAATTAGATTTGTAAAACGTTTCTGTAGACATCAGATGAGTTATCTGACTCTGACCTTCCTCCAGATTTTAATGTTAGAACCTGAACCAATTGTTGTTTTGTAATAATATAATATAATTAGATTTAATTACATTTTTTGTCCTCCTTCCCCCTCCTTCATCACAACCTCTGCTTTCTGTGAATTCTCGTTTCGCATTCTGTTTTTTTCCTAAAGGCATTTGCTTTGATTTGGTGTCAGTTTGATGTCTGTTTTGACCTTTTAAGACTTTYATTTTTAATGCCAAACCATCGCAGCGACTTGCCTGAGATGCTTCCAAACATTTGATACTTTTTCAGATGATGAAACAGAACGGTTTCAGTGTTTTAGGGAGATGAAAACAAGAGTTGGTGTGGAAGTGAAAGGAGGAAGCGTTTGAACATTATCTTATGACAAACATCACACAGAGTGCAGCAGCTTCACACACTGTTGTCTTTGTTCTTTTTAAAGTGAATCATCTGTCTGTAAACCTAATGACCTCACTTCTTAGTGGAAGATATTTAGGAATATTGTTAAAGTAATTAAAGGCTCAAATATTTTCATTAATCTCCATAAGCGTCACATAGAATCTCACTTCAAGCCATCTGAACCATCACCTTTAAGGTTTAACCTTTTATTTTTATTTATCAAACCCTTAGAAATTACAGTTTTAGTGGTTGAATTTTCTTTCAAGTAATGTATCAAACTGTCAGGTTTGTTAAAATGTGTCGAATTTGACTTTTGAACATCTTTTACTATTTATTTCCATTTTCCCTTATTATATTTCCAATAATCACATTTTAATCATGTTTTAAAATCAGAAGCTGCAGGACTTTTTCAAATGACAGCAGCAGTTTAATGTATCCTTTTCAAATCTGTTCAGTGTAATAATAGGTTTTTATTAAAACTTAAGTAGTTTTAAAAACATTTTAAATAAATTGCATCGTAAAATCTGATCAGAATGTTCTTAAAGCTTCCTTTCACAGCTGCCTTTAAACTGCATGATGTTGACTGGTGTGTCWTGTCTCTATATTTTTAGATTCATGCATTTGTTTTATTTATTTCTGATCTTGGTGGCAGTCTGTGGGAAGCGCTACAAGAACCGTCCAGGCCTGAGTTACCACTACACCCACTCCCACCTGGCTGAGGAGGAGGGCGAGGAGAAGGAGGACACGGAGATCAGCGAGCCCCCCCTGCCGCTGCCCGAGGAGCCAAAAAGTAAGAGATGAGCAGCAACGGTCAACAAGTCAGTGTTTTAGTTATTACTGATGTTATTTTTTCCCCTCTAATCAGCTCCTAAAAAGGGTCCAGATGGTCTCGCGTTGCCTAATAATTACTGTGATTTCTGCCTGGGAGACTCCAAAACCAATCACAAGACGGGCCAATCAGAGGAGCTGGTGTCCTGCTCAGACTGCGGGCGCTCAGGCACGTTCAGCTTTTATGGACCATCTTTTTATGTTCCTAATGTAGAAGAAAGAACGAGCGTTTGTGTTTTCTGTCTGCGTTCAGGCCACCCGTCCTGCCTGCAGTTCACTCCTGTCATGATGGCTGCTGTGAAGACGTATCGCTGGCAGTGCATCGAGTGTAAATGCTGCAACATGTGTGGCACCTCAGAGAACGATGTGAGCTCGCCGACACATCTGTCATTACTGTTGCTCACATTTAAACACGTTAGCTTGAATAAAGCGACAGGCTGTAAGAACACAGCTGCTAACATGCTAACAACAGAAGTATTATGTGCTGTATTATATGCAAACTCATGGTGAACTTCAAAGGTTTAATTTAAGTTTCTTTATTTCTAATGTTCATTTTATAATTAATAATAATTAATTTTGCTTTAGCTCTCAGAGTTCACCTGCTTTTGTTGTTTTGTTTCCTCCAGGACCAGCTTCTCTTCTGTGATGACTGTGACAGAGGTTATCACATGTACTGTCTCAACCCACCCATGTCTGAACCTCCTGAAGGTAACACCCCCAAATCCAAACACTGAGTTTATAAAAAGGAACAAAGTCAAGATCTCAGTACAAGAGATGTAGAAGTAAAAAATAAAAATAAAAAAATGTAGAAGTAGCAGTGTGTGGCTTTAAAATGAAAACTTATCTTACAGATTTTGAGATTTTACTCACCTGTGATTTAAGCTTTAAAGGGATCCCTGATTAGTTGTAACTTTAGACTTTATTTGATAAACATATAAACTATAAACATCGTACAATCATAAAATCATCAGATATTGTCCAAGATTAACCTTCAGGGTGGATACAGCTTGCTCACACCGAGGACCTATCCACGTCATCATTTACCCAGAATGCTTTGCGTGTAAATAAAATGACCCCGTCCGTGTTAAAAAATATTTTTAAACTTTTGGTTTAAAAATTATAAAAACTAAACAGCCTACAGTATTTTTACAGTCTTTATTTTACAGTTAAAATATATGTAAATTAAATAAAGTCTGTTACAATTAATGATGGACCCCTTTAATCTTTCAGCAAGCAGCAAAACATTACATTTAAACTTTTTTTAATGTTGATTAAATCAGACACTCACTAATTAACAGTAAAATCAAGGATTTGACTTTGAAAAACAGCTCTTATTTCATATTTTCACTTTAATTTTATGTTGATAAGTTGAAGGTTTGAGTGAACCCCTTTAAATGTTTAATTAAGTCCAGTTTCATTTTAGTATTTATTCTTATAGATTAAAATGAGCAAAGCAGAAACAGTTTCTAAAGCTCACATCCAACAAASAGATTTTTGTTTGTTTCCTAAAAGCATCAAACAGGGACTGTTTGTTTACATCACTTTCTAATGAAACTTAGTGTTTGAACTTTTCACATGGTTTGCATGAAATCCTTCATTTAACCTTTAACAAACGGAGTGCTYATGTTCATCAGAAAGGCTCAGCTCAGTTTTGGTCTGCACACATTTTATTTGAGCAGATATATCTAGACATCATGAATCGTTGCACTGTTGATGAAAACAAGATGAAAAAAAAAATCATATTTAAACTCTTAGTTTTCTGTKCTGTTTTCTCTCAGGGAGTTGGAGCTGCCATCTATGTTTGGACCGTTTGAAAGACAAGGCGTCCATATACCAGAACCAGCCCGCGTCATGATGGCTGCTGCGGCCGGCGCTCAGTCGTCACCCGACCGTCCTGCAGCTGCTGCGTGGTTTGTCCCTGAAGACACACGATGACGTCCCCTCACYGGCTGACCTCAGAGGGGGTGGGGGTGTTCTGAACAGACGAGTTGTGAAAAGGGAAGTAAACTTTAACCAGCCTGGCCTCAGTTAGCACGACTGTTACACAGGTCCAACCTCAGATTTGCGTCGGATAGGTTTTTGTTTTGTTTTGTTTTATTTTCACCTGCTTGCCATGGAGTTTGGCAGCGCTCGTTTGAGACGCAGCACAATTATCTGAACCGTCACTTTTTGTCGAGCATTTTACCGGACCTTTGTAAAGCCTCGCCTCTGTC